AGTATTTTGATTGAGGAGAATCTTGTATGTGATGAATGGCTGTACTAGGTAACTTTTAGGAGGCTTATTTCTAAATTAAGATATTTCTTTCTTATCCTAATATCATCCAATTTTATAGAGGACAATGGAAACTGGATAGGACACAATGAAATGACTAAAAACCCATGTTCTGGAGTCACATATTGAAAATTTAATTCCTAACATTGGGGAAGATTCTTAATGTCTGGAAAATTCAACTTAGTAATCTCACAACTAAGAGTTTTCTTTTTCTCTCATCCCTACACACTGATATTTGCGGTAATGATTAAATGAAATAATGCAATAAAGCAATCTACAGTTTATACATGTATATAAAGCAACTGCCTAGAGAAAGGGCCGGTTGAGAAAAGCTGCTAAATTTGTATGACTGATAACAATTTAATTATTAACTGAGGTTTTCTTTACTCGTTAAACCCCCTTTAGTGTTGTGTGTGGACACTGTTAGCTGAAAATGATACATACAATCTAGAACAAAAGATCACCCAGGTTTCTAACATCTGTTAAATGGAAACAAACAGCCACAGCTTTTAGAACCATATTACTTCTGACAACAGCCTGGCTTCAACCTTCAGAGATTTGACTGGAGAACTGAGAACAAAGCTTAGAGAAGGAAAAAGTAAACAATGACATAAGAGTTACATTTTATATTCCTGAGAAGGGAAATGAATCATTTACTAGCTAGTCGGAGAACTGGTGCTAGGAGGAGCACTTGGCTATGGAGTATTTGCTAAGGTCCCCAGGTCTCCAGTCCTCTTGGTTGAGTGGTGAAGAAACAGCAATAGAAATTTGATTGAGTTTAGCAAATTTGGTAGGCAAATTTGGTAGAGAGAACAACAGCTTAGTTCCCAGGGAAAATGCTAGCACAGTAGAGAAATTCCATAGGTGCTATGGCCCTAGAAGAGTAGAGAAGTCATGGGGAATGGAAACTCCTAGAACAATGAACTTAAAGGCCACCTCAGAGTTTCCAGGCTCTCTAGAGACATCAGACATGATTTAATAGGTTTAAAACATCAGTAAGAGTGGTTTAAGTAAACATTAGGCTTCAAATATCCTAGGCTGGGCCAGAGGAGGAGCTCCATATACTTCAACTCAATGTTGGAATTACCCTGGAAACAACCGTAGATTGCAGTGTGCAGAATAGAGTAAGTTGCACCCCACTGAGGGCTGATGTGGACACAGAATGTATGTAAACCCCGTTCTATCTTTCAGGCTTTTTCAAGGGAGAAAGAAAAGTAGTGTTGGTAATGTGGGGGTCTTCGTCTATTCACACCATGATTAGGAAATGCTACTTGACACTGAAGTCATAAAGCTGAGGGCAATTCATCAGTCACATATAGTGACAGCATGGGGATAGGGATAGGCATGGAGAGAGCATTGTACATGTATAGGGCCACGGTCATGCAAGTTTTTATGCAGAAACTTATGGAGGTGCCACTGGCTGCTGAGGAACAGATGGCATTGGTTTGCTTGGAGAATTATACAAGCATCAGAGAATACAATGCAGGGTTTTCAGGAGCTATGACATCCCTTTGATAAGGACACCTTATCTATACAAACAGCAGCAAGGGAACTTAAGACTGGGACCAGTTGCAAAGTATTATATCAGATGTTCAGCCTCAATCCTACTGCACCTGCCTCCTGGGTAATGGGATTATAGACATGTGCTGCTATACCTAATGGACAACAGTTTATAACTAGATGATAACCAAGGCTCTTAGAAATGATCAAAAGCATTTCTACTTGGATGCAAGTATCCACCTGACAAAGAAAGGACAACATATTTTGAGATGGCAATAATAAAACATGAACTTTACTACACAGCATGTTGTTCAGCTATTAATGGCAACATAGGGACCTGTCTGACACTGATGTAGAACTCATTATCTCCAGATACCAATCAATGCATTTCGTGAGAATGACACTTAGCAGGGGCTGAGAGTGTCATTTTCCAATTTGTGCTTTAAATAAGAATTCTTTGGAAAGATCGTTAGACTTCTCACTTACCCTGGCTGTCTCCCAAGCCTAATCATCACTAGGTTGTTATGGGAAGTTGAATTCCCACTAAATGTCTTCTCCAAGCTACTTGACTAAGTATTCTAAGTCACATGATTTCCCAGGTTGCTATTGTTACTAGGACACCTAGGCAGATAAGAAGTATCTTGCTGCTGGGTGGTGGTGGCTCACACCTTTAATCCCAGCACTCAGGAGGCAGAGGCAGGCGGATCCCTGTGAGTTCGAGGCCCGGCTGGACCGACAGCCTCCAAAACAATACAAAGAAACCCTGTCTCGTAAAAACCAAAAAAAAAAAAAAAAAAGAAGTATCCTGTTGTGGTTAATTTGTAGTATAAGTCTTATAAGGAGAAATGTGTTAACCCAGATCATGCTTTGAGTATCTGTAAAATAAGAAACTCCCAATGTCCATTACCTAAAAGGAGAAACTCTTGGTAATGGTCTACAAGTTTTCAAAAGTGTTCATGTAGGGCCAATGGCCAGGGCATCCAGTGCTAAGATGAATACCTGCAATGTGTCCATTGAACCACCCTTTGGCACTATCCTTTATTAGAAATATTTTGGCTAGAAGAGAAAAAGAAACAACTCTCCGTGTGTGTAATGAAAATATTACTACTGTATTCACTCAAGTTTATCACAAGAGATTTGTCTATTGCTAAGAACATTGAGAAGTGGATGACTTCATGATGTCTGGAAAATGAGAAAGCAAAGAAAAGACCACCACTCCTGGGGAGAGGGTTGTCATACTGCCCAGATGTGACTCCATTCTGTATCCAAGATCCCAGGAGACATGCCAAGCTAATAGGGTACTACTTCAATAACCCAAGGTAAATGGGTTGCTGTGTGCTTTTGAAAACAGGTTCAAGTTCTATGAGGTTCTATTTCAAGACTCTATTCTAATTTCACTGTCTGCCCCTCTACTGGAATATAGTATGAGATCAAGAAAAGGTATTTTTATCTAGAATCCCAGGGCCAATTTATGATCATCACAGGCAACCCAGAGACAGGAGGTATGAGACGAAGTGACAAAAGTATGCATAGGCACTGGTGGACTTGCTTATTACTTAAAATTTGTACAGATTATTTAGTTTTTGGTTTGACAGGCTTCTTCTTCAACATGGACCAAAATTACAGTAACATTAAGATTTCCAAATGAGTATGTTACCTCCAGAACCTAAAGAAAATAAATGGATGTTGATTTACTTACTTCTCTATTGCTTTGATAAAGTCCCATGACCACTGAGAATTAGAAAAAAAATCACTTAATTGGCCTTGTGGTTCTACAGGTTTTGAAGTGATGATGGTAAGGTAAAGACACAGTGACCACAACTGCTGAGAGCTCACATCTTGCTCTCAAAGCCGAAGCATGAACATGCTGCAAGCATTTTGAGTCTCAAAGCCTGACTCCAGTGGCAATCCTCCTCCAACAAAGCCACACTCCCTAATCCCTCCCAAACAGTTCTACCGATGGTTGTTGGGGGTGGAGCAGATGACACATACGTTCAAATATATGAACATATGGGGACCATTACCATTTGAACTATCACAGATGTTGAATTTGTATTCACCTTGTGGGTACTGAGAATGTCAGTGTCTATTCCTTGACAGTGTCAGGAATGGAATGGCACATGGGTTAACAAGTGACATCCAAGTATTTAGCAGAGATGAAAGGGCCATCTATTATGTCTGAGGTAGTGACCCATCTGCTATTGTAAGCTCTTTTCTGACTCTTTTTGATCGCAATATATAATTTTTTCTTTTTTCTTAAGAAATTTCCTGTAGGGAATGTGTGCAGCAGCATTGTTGCTCATGTCTCTTTGTAGGTAAACACAACTGTGATCATGAGGCTGTTGAAATGTATGGCAAATTCATCATATTAGTCAGATTAGTAGCAGTGAAATATTTGCATTGGGTTTGGGTTCACCCCTACACAAGGTGCCTCAAGGATGCCAAGGGTTTTCTTCCAACCCTATGGATTAGGATCTTTGTTGCAAGAGAAGCACCATCAGCGATGTGGTGCAGGGAAGGAATCCTAGATCACAACTCTAACTTGATTAAGATCAGCTTCCATAGCATGGGACTGACCCAGACCCCCTGAATGTGGGTGTCAGTGAGGAGGCCTAGGTAATCTATGGGGCCTTGGGTAGTATTTATCCCTGGTGTACAAATAGACTTTGAGCTCCCATCCCATAATGAGGGATGTTTTCTCTGCCTGGACTCTTGTGGGAGGGCCCAGGCCCTGCCCTGGATGAAATGACAGACTCTGGCAATCCACCATGGAGTGCCTCACCCTCCCTGGGGATCGGAGTGGAGATTGGGTGGGGTACTGAAGGGCCTGGTGGGAAGTGGGGGAGGAGGGAAGGGAGAAGGAGCTGAGATTGACATGTGAAACAAGCTTGTTTCTAACTTAAACAAAAAAGGGAGGGGGAAGCAACAACAACAACAAAAAAGAAAATCTTACTTTCCAAAAAAAAAAAAGATCAGTTTCCACAACATCCGCACATTTCCTATTACATGGGTAAACCCTCTCGCTTTCTCTGTTTCATCGCCTTTTTAAAATGAAAAAACCCTCTGAGGATATTTTGAGTTTTTTAACCAGGTAACATTTTAGACTTTAACTTTTGTCCCTGCATAGCCATCTGTTGCACAGACTTTTGGTGTGGTTATAGGGAAAAATGTTCAGGAACACTTGCTGGCCTACATTGCAAGTGCATGCCTATTCCTCCAGGGATTCCAGGTTCATTTTCCTGGAATAGAGATCCCACATCCAGAAAAGTCCTACGTCTATGGCTTGCATGGGGTCTTGGGCTTGTGACTGCAAATTAGCTTTCTGGTGTGCTTTTAGGCAACAGTGCAGAGCCCAGGGCATATTGGCAATGGGTTTTGCATCCCAAGATTGGTTGAGTGCCAAATGCTCCTTCCTCTCCCTACCCCCTTTTTGTTTTCATCAGCACCTGGGCCACAGGCCACGGGCCACCATGGATATGAACCTTGATGCCCTTGGGGGTCAAAAGAAAACAAGCGACAGCAGCAAGGGAAGCGACAGCCCAGGAGCCCAGCAAGGTCACTACCCCTGCATGAACTACAATCAGAAGGCTATGCTTAATTCTCTGCAGGATGGTGGTCTCCTTCCTTTCCACAGGCCTTACAAAGGGTTCTCATCTGGCTTGTCCCTTGTATTCACAACTGCAAACAGTATCTGTAATGTAACCTCAAGTAACTCATGGCAGTCACCATGCTAGACGCAGTGACCAGAGAGTTCTAGGTTGAACTTTAGAAAGTAGGGCTGAACTTCTGCTTGGTCAAGGTACTGGCCTTTTCATGACCCTTAAAAGCAGAAGCCTCAGTGACTACCTGTCAAACAAGTTCAACCTGATAGTTAACGTGACATCATCTTGGAGACAAGAGAATTGTAATATGGAAAGAGACAATAATGGTTGACAGCATGCTGCCCCACAGTCCACAGCTCAGAGTCCCCAGCAATTAGAGGTTCTGTTTCAGCTTTTGCCATAACTCAGAACCAGTTACCCAACATCAGCTACTTTTATGATGACTAGATACTCTTTTGATATCAATGCTTGCAAGGCCATGTAGTCGTAACATCAGTAATTTGCATTCCTTCCTATTCACTCCGCTGATGAGGTAGAGATTCTCTCTTTGGAGTTCTGGCAGTGTCTGAACACCTCCAACTTTGGACAGATGAGATCCAAAAAAGTTTGGGATCAAACAAGCTCATAGCAGAAGGCCAAGAAAACTGTAGACTATACAAAAAACTTGGAGAGAGGAGAGTGAATGACCAGGCCTGTGAACAGTAATGAGAGTCTCCTGTCCATGAATTACCTAAGAAGACAGATTTGCCATGTACCTGAAAACTGTAGACTATACAAAAAACTTGGAGAGAGGAGAGTGAATGACCAGGAGCTGTGAACAATAATGAGAGTCTCCTGTCCATGAATTACCTAAGAAGACAGATTTGCCATGTACCTGCTTCCTGCAATAAGCATGGTTTAACTAGGGTTCCACTGTGGCAGCAGGAGTGAAGAGGGAAACATGTTATTAAGTAAAGCAAGGGCAGCACAGAAAATTACACCTTAATTTTAATGCCATAGGCCACATGAAGGAATGAATCCTATAGATGGTCATGATGTATCAGAAAATGTATGCAGAGAGAATAAATTTTAATGTGAAAGTGAATGGTGTTATTTTGAGTTAAAAGACAATCAAGACTGTAAAGGAAAAATGAAGACCTGTGATTTAAAATAAATACTATTAAAGAATAATTCATTTGCATATTAAATATCTGTATATGTGCGGGCATATGACAAAATTAAAGGGAAACTTTGTTAGTACTTGGATGTGCAAGACCTGAAATTTAAAGACAGAACTAACTTTCCTAGAATTATTAACTTAATGACCAAATAAGCAAACCCCCAAAATATGATATGATGAAAACCAAATACATGATACGTTTAACTTCAGCATCAAATATTTCTAAAACTTTTATGTGACAGCTATGTTTGCAAATAAGAAAGATAATTTTTCATGAGCCCAGAAGAATAAAAATTTACAAAGATCAAGGTGAGTGCTAAATGATGCCTCTTTGCTTCTCTGTCTCCCCGCCCCAACTCTTGAATAAACTTCTATTTATTCTAGTCTTATGTCAAGTCTAAGGACCACAATGAATGACTGTTGCTCCAGTCCATGTCTGAGTTCAATGGTAGAAGAAAACTGATGTTATAAGTCAAAGACAGGCAGAGAGATCAAGTTCTTCCTTACTCTGTCTTTAGTGGGTGGGATGAAGCCTGCCCATACTGGGAAAGATAATTGCTTTACATATGTCCACCATGTTAGATATGAATATCATCCAAAACCATTCTCCTAGTCATATCCAGCCTAAAGCTTAGTCACAATCAGAGCACCCTGTGGCCTAGTCAAGTTGACATATAAAATTAACCATTGTATTTGTCAAACTTGACTGCCAATGGTGAGTGCAGTGAGATAATACTGAGATGTGCTTGGTCAGGTTCAACTTGGAAGAGTTGTTCCTGTCAGAATGAGAATAAAAACAGATATTGTTAATGTAAAGAGCAGTAGGCTCCATTAATTTTTAAGTTTAGGCTGCAAGGGAAGCAAGATGAACTGTTTCAGGGGATACAATATATAATAAAGAATTTTGTGAAAAATACAGTTTCATGACTATATATGATTATCAAATAGATACATGGTATGTATTTGGAGTTTAATGTCAAATTATAGGTGGTCTGATTTTACATAATTGAACAAAAACTATGTATCTATGGTTAGAAATATTAAATACTGCAAGCTTTGAAATGTTGAATAATTCAACTTGTTCTAATGATAATATTTATGATGCAAAGTTCACTAGACAAAAACTATTTGATGCTATCTGTAGCATACTCATTAAATTTTACATAAAGTATTATAGGCAGTGTTTACTGTTTACATACTATTTCTAAAAGTCATTAGGTCTTACATTTTAAGGTCTTTCCTTTTGCTCTAATTTTAATATGAAACTATTCTTGGTTTTGCATTTGGAAACAGTAAGTTTTCTGGTAGATTTGCTGATCAAACTTTTCTTCCTAATGGCCTTTTACTAGCTGTCTTTGACATTGGTCTTTATTTCTAGGTAATGCTTCTTATACTCATCTTTTCTATGTGATGTGGAGATTTTCCTGGCTCTCCAGTGCTCAGAGAAAAAGGTGCACTCATGTGCTTTAATGACATTTGCTTCTGTGTAATATGAGTTCCTGTTATGTGTATGCCCCGATTCAGTAACAATGTATGTCAGCTAGGCATTCCCTTCTTTAGTGGGGACTTGGCGTTTACATGTGGATGTCACTTTTGTGTATATTACTATTTTTAGTCTCCTTGTCATTAATTCCCCAGAATCTGGCACTGAGCAAAGACATGGTTGAAAGGAAACAAGCTGTGCCCAGTAACTGTTCCGGGAGGTGTAGATGGAGGCTCTGGTGAGGACAGGTGGACTCTGGTCTTTCCTTGGTAACCAGGAGTTCATTTTGAGGGTCCCCTGCCTCCTTTTCTTTAAAATAGACTGAGCCATGACCAAACTGCAACACAAGATCACACAAGAGGATTTTCATCCAAGGCCTTAAAATCAGTGCATGTTCAAAATGATTTGTCAGTTTTCCCATTATAAAAATGCTCGAAGTATGTACCGACCATTAAAAGGAGAGCATGAATTTGAGGAGAGGGTGCATGGGAGGAGTTGATTGTAGGAAAGAGAAGGAGGGAAGCTATGTAACTACACCTTCAAAAACTAAAAAAGCATTATTTTTAAAGTCACTACAGCTGGGCGTTGTTGGCACATGCCTTTAATCACAGCACTCAGGAGGCAGAGACAGGTGGGTCTCTGTGAGTTCAAGACCATCATGGTCTACAAGAGCTAGTTTCAGGACAGCCTCCAAAGCCATAGAGAAATCCTTTCTCATAAAACAAACAAACAAAAATAAAAGTCACTACAGAAAGTTTGGAGAACAATGAAGCTGGAAGGGAAAACCAGAAATCACAGCTATTAACTCCACCCGTAAAGCACTGCTATCATTGTTTTAATAGATTTTTTTCTAACAGTGTTGTCTCCTCATGCTTGCTTTTGTTTGTTTGTTTGTTGTTTTTGTTTTTTCAAAACTGTTCTTCTTGGTAGCTTTGGAGCCTGTCCTGTAACTCGCTCTGTAGACCAAGCTGGTCTCAAACTCACCTCCTGAGTGTTGGGATTAAAAGCTCATGCCACCACACCACTGTACTCGAATTTTCTAAAGTAATAGATGTATACAGGTTACAAAATTATTTTTTCACTTTCTTTTTAAAGCATATTTTGGATATCATTTTCATGAACTCATTGTACTTATATAACAATTATATAGTAACATTTTGTTTTACAAATGATTTTCTGCAGGTTAAAAGAATCCATTTAAATATATTTCCATCTGTTTAACTTGATTGTAAGTTAATAAAAGAATTACAGTTTGGAACAAAAACATTTTGAAGAGATCATTTTTCTTATTTTATATTTGTTTTTTTAATCCATGATCTAAAAAATCCTATAAATTTTTAAAATTTTTCTATTGTGATTTTGATTAATTTTTTTGCTTGATCAAATACTAAACTGGCTTCTTCTATAGTGAAAAATAAAGCAGTTGGGGGAAAAAAACCAAAGCAGAGCTTGAGTGGATACTGTCATTTTTCCTCTTTTCTCTACAACAAAGTAAAAAAGATGAAAAATATATTCATTCACAAATAGAGTAAGAGACTTTCCAAGGAATTTTTCACTAAATGATTAAAATAAGATACATTAGTAAAAATTTTAAATTTTATATATATATACATATATATACAAATACACATGTACACGTGTATATACATATATATATATACATACATGTATATATAAAATAGATATATTGAGTATCATACCTATATGTCACCTTACTTATCCAGGCTACTTTTAAGAACAATTTCAATCTTCAGCCATGTCTCTTATTTTAACCATTGCCCTTTGTTGGGGTTATGTCTACTTAAATTAGAATACTTATTAGAAGTTAACAAGTGCTGAGTAAAGTAGGACAGACAGGCATTGTACCGTGACCTTCCTCACTGTAACTACAACAGTACTCAGACTAAAGATTGTCTTTCAAACATCATGAAACAATTGAGGATTTGGATCCAGTTTAAGTCTGGGAGACAACACTAAAATATTTTTTTTTTTTGCAGAAAGAATGTAAAATTTTCTCCTTTAGGGTGAGAGTCTCTTATGGGTGGGATTAAGGAAATGTGGTTTTCTGTGACAAAAGGCTTTTCTGGTTTAGATGCTATAGAATAGTAGCCAAGATGGGAGTTGTGTGTATATGTGTGTGTTGGGCATCCAGATTATACATGTGTTTTTTATTAAACACCAACTCAGTAGGAATGTCTCAGAGTTAACCTTTTGTCATTATAACCCACACCATAGGCTGTCTCTAAAGACTTATCCACAGGGTGGCTTAAGAATACCATTGATATCCATAGCAATATGCTATCATACCATT